GAGAGCGGGAGAGCCGCGGAGAGACCGGGCAGGACAGAGAACGAGCGAGAGACCTAGAGAGAGGCAGAGACCCAGAGAAAGATAAGTAGACAGAAATGTATGTAACTACAGAGGAAGAGAGGGAAAAAGAGGCGGGGGGGGGTGGTGTGTGACAGACAAGGAGATAAAACCTGAGGTAGACTCATAGACACAGAAAAGGAAGAGGCAGGCAGAAAGATACAGACTAGAGAGGCACAGACTGAAAGAAGAAAACAGAAAGAGCGGAGACCGGGAGACCTGGATAGCTGGAGGTAAACTGATGATGCAGAAAAAGAAAAGCAAGGAAAGGGAAAGGAACAGGCAAACGAAGTCCTCCCACCCCTCAGTCCTCCTCCCCTATCCGTCCACTAAAATCACAACACGCTATAGCTGGAAGGGACTTCAGGTCTTGCTGTTCTGCCTTGTACTATGTGTATGAGGAAACTGAGGCACGGAGAGGTCAAGTGATGTCCAAGGGTACACAGTGGGTTACTGTCAGCACTCAGATCTGTCAAGCTTCCCCTCCTCCCAGGCCACATGCCCTTCCCTGTGCCAGGCTGCTGGCTGTCTTAGAAACAGGAAGGCACAGCTGTGAACCTGGGAACACATGGGCCAATACCCAAGGGAAAGCCCTGGTCTTGTGAAATGTGTCTCTTCTCAGGTCAGTACAGCTCCTGGAGCTGGCTGAGGAGCCTAGGCCAGGAGCACCCAGTCCCAGGGTCCCCTGCTCTGCTCCTCAGAGGCCATCAGGCTGTCTTGACCTCTATGGCCTCTCCCCTGCACCAGCTGGCCAGGCTGGGTTTGGGCTGGGCTGCCAGGGACAGCCATGGACATCACCATGGAGCATCCCAACAGAACCTAGCTGAAAAAGGGGAGGTGGAGGGCCCAGATCAGGAGGCTCACTGACAGACTGGAGGAGCCGGGAGACCTCTCATGCCTCAGTTTCCTCATCTGTCAACATGGTGTGGTGGTGGTGAGGAGGGCAGCCTGTGGGGTCGCAGGCGAGGCATTCCCTGCCCCTCTCAGAGTCTTGCTTCCTTATCTCTTCAATGAAGTGCCATGGCAGATGATTCCACAGGCCTTGCTTAGCTCCAAACAGCTCCAGACTTGGATGGGCTGAGTGAGCAGAATGATTGGAATGCAAATCCCACTGCCAAGGAGGGTCAAAAAGTCTTTCACAGGACCCTGGCATGGGCCACGAGGAGAGACATGGGAGAGGCCCCAAGGCCCCGGACAGAGGAGGATAGGCTTAGAAGGCAGCCAGCCAGAAGCAGGAGCACAGTCTGCGCACATTCTAGGCTGACCTGTCACTGCCTGATACTAGACTGCTTTTCCCAGCAGTGCCACCAACCCATTCCTGCCTTCCACCATTCATTCAACAAGTACGAATCAAGCATCTGCTGTGTGTCAGGCAAGGTATATTACATTCATTATCTCTAGTCCTTATCACAGTCCCGAAAGGAAGGAATGGTTATGTCCATTTTATAGATGAGGAAACTGAGGCTAAAAGGCAGTGCAGTGAATCCCCCAAGGATGTTCAGCTGGGAAGAGACAGACTACCTCCTAAGCCTATGCTCTTCTTTATGATGACTCCTTGAACATCCTTTTTTTTTCACTGTAAATGGGATAGTTAATTATACTGGCTCTTGAACAGAGTGTTGTAAGAGATCAAAGGGAATGGCATGCATGTAAATCAGACACTACAAGGTTCTATAACGACTTCTTCTACCCTAGAACTCAGGTCTCCGACCAGATTGGCACTGACTGGTGGTGCTTTGCCCCCGCCCCCTCTCAGTATAAGATGTTTTGATTGTGTCAGATGCCTTGATCTGCCACAAACTTTCTGGTCCTGCCCTTCTGGCCATACACTCAGCCTATTGCAAGCTTTCCCTCTTGGCATCTTCTGGCTTTTTGGCAGAAAAGTGCTGCCTTTCCTGACTTCCCAGGGGTGGGGGAACAAGTTAGATCCCGTGTTCCTGGACACAGACACCTTAAAAGCCAGTTCCCCAAAGCCAATCTAGAGGAGCAAGTGATTCACTAGGCCTGGTTTTCAGTGTAAAAGGCTGTGTGTACAGGTCTGTTCATCTCTGGCTGCCAGACCAAACTGCTGTGCAGATGAAAGGTGATATTATGAGTGAAAGAGCTTTGGAAAAAGGAAAAAGCTCTTGTTAGGGGCAGGGCATTTATTATTAATTATGATGAAGCTTGTTTGTATTTCAGAACTGGAAAGACCTTTAGAGATCATCTGGCCCAACCCTGTCATGTTACAGATGAGGAAACTGAGGCCCGGAAAGTAGGAAGTGTGTTTCCCAAGGTCACACAGTGAATGAGGCAGGGCCAGGACTCATGTGCCATGGCTGGGGTCTTTCCTGTTGTTCCCTGTTATGCATGGGATCAGGATACCCACCAGTGGGGTCTCCTCCTCCTGCCCCTCTTCACTCCCTTCTCTTAAGGAGGGGGGACTGGTGGGGGAATTATGCAGGTACCAGTCAAGATTTCTGAGTAACCCCGGGGACCTGTGGGCAGAGGTCCCATGAGCTCGCCCTTGGCCTGGGTGGGATTATGACAAAGACGTTGAAGCCTATCCCACTCCCTTCCATCCAGGACTCTGAGGACCTGCCTGTACCTCCCAGCCCCCTGATGGGGATGCCCCATCCTCTGCCCAAGGCCAAGTGTCAGAAAGCACCTGTCTTTTATAGATGATAAAAACTGCTCAGCTGTGGCTTCTCCATGTTCTTATATTTCTTCCAATCCATTGGTGACTTCTGTGGGGGAAGCTCTGGGTCAGAAAGAGATTTTTTTCCATCCTTCAAATTGTTATACCAATCAGCCTTCTGTGTGTTGGTTTTCTGAAATCCTGTCCAGTAGAGAACACAGGGTGGAGAATTGGAAGGCCTAGGCTGGGGTCTGGCTCTGCCACCTGCTTGCTGTTGGCCAGTCACTCCTCCAGGGGCCCTGGTTTGCACAGCCATAAATGGAGGGGTTTGGATCAGGGCATGTCTACTCCCTTCATTTATAACATCCCATGACCTTCCTGGCCTGCTTCTGCTTCCCTAGTTCTTCCAAGAATCAGGAGAAAAAGGGTATAGTCACTGCTTTTAAGACTTTAGTTTGTGAGGAAAAGGACACAGTCAGAGTTAGGATAAGTGGTACAAAATTCAATTATCATGAGTTGCTGCATATTATTATGCACTAAACATTATACACATTATTTTCCAGTTGTATATTCTACTCCATTCCCCTCTAAGCTCTAGGCACATCCAAGTACTTTTATGTTTCACTCCTGGCTCCCATGGCTCCCATAAGCTGTGATGTTGGTACCTCCTTGCCTCCTTTGTTTTCTATTTAGTGATCTCCTATTCAGGCTTCAAGACCCAACTGAAAGGCCACACTCTCAATGAAGCATTTCCCAATTGCCCCCAATCAGAACCACTGGCTCCTTTGTGCTTCCACAGCAACCTGTCTAAACGCCAGTTTAGTAGGCATTGCATCTGCCTTGTAGATTAGTCAACTCTTTTAATATTTATCTTCTTCACTGGCTCATTATCTTCTCCAGGCGGAGACCCTTCTTACTCACATTACACCTCCCACAGTGGGGACACCCACTTTGCACATCAGTGTGCAGTGAAGGCTTCAAAGCATCCTCACCTTCTGGGTTACAGATCAGCAGTGTCAGTGGGGCGAGGGGCCAGATGGCAGAGACTGGGGCAGAAAAACCCCGGGCAATCTGCTTCTGTGACTCTTCACAGACAGTTACTTCTAAGGCTGGAGAAGTGCCGCATGTTTTAAAGGAAGAGGATAAAGACAAATGTGAGTGTTCAGAGGCCTGAGGAAGCATGTGGGGAGGGCATTGAACTGGGAGTCCAGGTCCAGGAGCTTGGTCCCAGCGCTGCCACCGACTACCAACTAGCTGGCAGGCTTGAGAGAATCACGTTGCCTCTCAGTGCCTCAATTTCCTTTCCCACAGGATGAAAGGATCGACTATCTTGAAAAGTCTCTTCCCTGCTCTGATGTTCTGTGATGTTAATGACAGAAGGAGCAATGTTCTGTTGATGTTAATGGCTGTGTGAGCAGTGCTCATTCTATGATGGCCAAGAATGCTGTCTGAAAGATGAGGGGCCCAGAGCCCTCTCTGTCCATTACTATCCAGCCCCCTTTTATTGGCCAGTTTGACTGGAGGATGAAGGCAGGGGGCGGTGGGGTAGGGAGAGAAGGAGCTGACTCCCCAGTCAGACAAACGCAGATTCAAATCCTGACTAGCAGTTACTAGCAGGACCAGGGCCTCCCATGAAATTCTGGGCCAGACCATAAGCTCCTGCAGGGCGGGGATAGGGCCTTCCTCACCTCCGTGCCCCACAGGCCTTGGTGGAGACCTGGCACAGAAGTCACTCTGGAAACACTCCTCCATCTGTTCCAGTAGACCTGGCTGGGCCAGGTGGGTTGGCAGGGCCTGGGGCCATGGTTCACCGCAGAAAGGAACGTCCAAGGCTATCTCAGCATCAAGCCAGGGACTGGCCTGAGAAGGGGGAAGGGCCCTGTGCACCAGGAGTTGCCTCAGAAAGAGAGCAGAGAGCCGCCCCAGGGATCCTGGCCTCTGAGGGCAGGTTGATGGGGTGCAGGGTGCTTAGGCTATGACGGAGGGGTTTCTTGGTGTATCTCTGCAGGGAGGGACATGGAGAATTAGTCTGGATTTACAGAGCATAACCAGTCCCAGTGCAGCCGGCTTGCATTTGTCAAGAGACACTATTTGTTTAACATCTCAAGCCCAAACCAAACACAAAAGGCAGCTGTTCACAAAAGAGAGGTGCTGGGAACTGTTGGAAGGAGAGTGCCGCCCTAGGAGGCAGACACCTGGCTCTGTTCTCAGTCCTGCCTGGGATGGGTTGAATGTCCAGCTCAGGACACAGGGTCTTCTGCTTGTGAGAGTGAGGACCAACCGATCTCCATGGAGCTGCTGTCGGAGATAGGCTTGCTTCATTTGTTAGCAGAAAGCCTTAGTCCAAAGTCTGCACCTACCACATTGGATGGATCCCTTCCTCTAAGACGGCCTGTTTGGTGGCCTCCCTCTCTGACTCTGAGTACCACACTGAGATGAGCAGCCTCCTGTGTGTGTCTTTAAGGACCTGCAGGGAGTTCCCACTGGGACGCATTCCCAGAAGTGTCATGGTGCTTATGCCCACTGCATGGCACTAAACGCTGCCGGGCTGTCCTCAGTGTGGCTCTCTTGGTTTTCACTCTCCCTAGCAGTGCCTGAGATTGCCCACTTGGTCCTCACTGACACTGGTGTGATTCACTTTTCTGTTTTTGCCACTTGTATGTTTTGCTCTTTTCTGCTAATTTCCCCCTCTTTCTCCCTTCTCTTCCCCTTTTCACATCTTCCCCTCCACTATGTTACTGGGGTCTCAGGCAGGCCAGCAAGTGATAGGAGAGTAAGATCTGGGAGAAAACCAGCCACTGGTCTCCAGCCTGGTGTGTGTGTGTGTGTGTGCACGTGTGTGTGTAGGAAGCAGCAAGCCTGAGACTTTCAGCTTCAGTCTTGGTCTCCTCTTCTCTCCTTCGTCTATCTACCAGCCCTTGTCATTCTCCCCTCCACTCACATTCTCCTTTGTGTTTGGCCAAGGCTCACAGAATAATTAAAGCTAGAGGAAATCTTAGACCCAACAGTGCTAATGAGGAAACTGAGGCCTGGCAGGGGGGTCAGACCTCCAAGCCTCACAACTTCCCAGGCCAGAGCTGGGGCTGGAGCCCAGCTACTCTGCCTGACCTCGAAACCTTTAGCTGCAAGGTAAGTGCACTAAATGCTCCCCCTTCACATTGCTGGAATTAAGTCCCTTAAGCCTGTCCTCGGCAGAGATTCTGAAGCGGCCATGACCTGTATTCTCTGTCAAACGTGTTGCTGCTAAGGAAAAAAGTGAGCCTGGAGATCTAGTCAACAGCCTCACAAATCTTGAAATCCTTCATTGCAGGTTTATGGCTTCTGAGAAGCCAGCGGAGGCAGCCTGTTCTCAGCCCCGAATGCAATAATTACAATAGCACTCGCAATGATTAATCAGCCAGTGAGTATTGAGTGGCGCCTGTGAGCATGCATGGCATTGTCTATGTGTGTCCATCTGGGTCGGGGAGAGGACAAGAGAGGTGGATTTATTCCCAACAAGCAGGTTTTAGGTGTCCTTCCCTCAGTGGAGGGGCTGGGTCGCCACCGTGGCACTCCTTGGATAGAGTCCTGATCGGCTCGGCACTGCAGCTCTTTCTGCTGGGGAGGAGTCCTGTCCCCTGTGGTTCCAATTGCTGGGCTCCGGACCATACTGGGAGAGAGGAATTGATGAAGAGAAGCAGGTTCCAGGCTGTCAACCAGATTAACGGGGGGCCTCACCGGTGTGATGTCCATGGCACAGTCAAGGAACTTGGGGTATTCAGTCTGGAGAAAAGATGCAGAGGACGTGTGAGCTGTCACACGGAGGAGGGGTTAGCTTTGCTCTGGGTGGCCTAGGAGGGGCCCGTGATCTGTGAGGAAGTGCTTCAGTTGAAAGAGCTTTCAGCTCAAAATAGATGGAACATTCTCCATGGCTCTGCAGAAGGAATGAACTGCCCAGGACGAAATAAGCTCCTGGTCAGTGAAGGAGTGAAAGCACAGCCTGATTGATCCCCTGGTTCAGGCTGTTTTGTTTTTTTAAATCTTTTTTCCTTTCAATTTCATTGAGATATAATTGACATACAGCACCCTATAAGTTTAAGGTGTACAGCTTAATGATTTGACTCACATACATCATGAAATTTTTACCTCTTAAGTTTAGTGAACATTCATCATTCCATATAGATACCAAAGAAAAGAAAAACAATTTTTTACCTTGTGATGAGAACTCGTAGGATTTACTCTCTTAACAACTTTCATATGTAACAGACAACCGTGTTCATTATGTTTATCATGTTGTATATTGCATCCCTAGTACTTATTTATCTTACAACTGGGAGTTCATATCTTGTGACTGCCTTCATCCAGTCTCCCTCCACTCCCCTGCCTCTGGTGACCACAAATCTGATCTTTTTTTTTTCTATCAGTTTTTGTTTGCGAAGTATAATTGACCTATAACCCTATGTTAGTTCCTGGTGTACAATATGGTGATTTGATTTTTCTATGCATGACAAAATGATCACATGCTAAGTCTAGTTATTGTCTGTCACCATACAAAGATATTCTGTTATTATTGACTATGTTCCACACACTGTACATTTCATACCGGTGACTCATTTATTTCATAACTAGAAGTTTGCACCTCTTCATCTCCCTCACCTACTTTAGAAGGATCCAAGGAGATAGTACAGTGCCTGGCACACAGTAGGTCTGCAAGAAATGCCTTTTGATTTGCTTGCTAAAAGTACTGAGTTTGGGGCTAGACTAGATGCGCTTTATGGTTCAGTCAGGCTCAGTTCACCGTTCATGGAGAATTTCCTCTGTGCTAGGCTCTTCCACCCTCCTTGAAATGCTGCAATTCCCTGGCGCCAGGGAGGGTTGCCCCTGGAGTCCTGGCTGATCCTTCAAGCCCTGCTTTCTCCCAGCTTCTCCCATCCCCTACCTGCCCCAAAGCCCCCACACTTTTACCCTGCGGTCTGCTGCTTGCAAAGGCCCAACACTCACAGGTTGGTGTAAGGGCCTAGAGGCCCACGGGCTCCTGCAAAGGAAATGAGCCTCTGGCAGGCTAATTACTGGGCGCTGATTCTATTAAGCAGATAGCTCGCTCTAGGCAAAGCAATTACATCTAATCAGCCCCTTGCAGGAGTCCAAAGGGACAGCCGTTTGAGCCAGACACATGCGTGAGTAGGAGCATCAAAGCAGCCTGGGGCTCAGACCTGGGCAGTTTTGTTTCAGGCTAAGGGTTGCTCAGAAAGTGGTCCCCTGGCTCCTTCCCTGGGCTGCCCTGATCTCGGCCACACTCGTGCTGCAGTTCTGTCAAAGCAGAACTGAATGGAGACTCAAAAGAACTGTGATGAGACTTGGCTCTGCCACCAGGGAGCTGAATTTCACTGGGGAGAATACTTCTCTGACCCAAGCCTCAGTTTCCCTGTCTGTCTAATGGGTAGGATGGACTAAAAAGGGCACATTCCAAGTTTGAAACTGGAGTCCATCTTGATATCGTATTGTATACTTAAGAAAGTACTAAGAGGGAAGATCTTAGTAAAGTGTTCTTATAAAAATATAATAACAATAATAGTAAATAAAGAGTCAGGAGGAAACTTCTGGAGGTGATGGATACGTTTACAACAGGGGCTGTGTGCATGGTTTCATACCTATCTCCAAATGCAACAAGTTGTGTACATTACATATGTACAGCTTTTTGTATGTGGATCATATCTCTATGTGGTTTTAATTTTTTAAAAAAAAGAGAGTGAGAGAGAGAGACGCTAGCCTATCTAGTCCACATGGTTTGGATTCTAGTCCAGGCTAAAATGAGCTGACCAGCTAGAAAAGAACTTTTGAAGTCCTCAAACATGGAAATATGTGCTGCAGGATCTAATTACTCAGACTATTTGTTTTTTAAAAATAAGGAAAATAATGTATTTTTTAAAACTATGGATGCCCTCCTGACATTTTTGCCTCCAGAAATTTAATGAAATGTGCGTTCCCCAAAAAACAGCCAAGATTTTCTGACCATGATTTAGTGGCTTCTGCGTCACAGATTCTTTGAGGAAGCTGGGTCATGTTAGCAGGGGAAGGAACAGGAGGTCCCTGGAAGTGAAGGGGTGATGAGTAAGGTGGAGACAGGAGAGTCCTTGGGCCATGGCAGGGTCTGTTTGATCTGTGCTGGTTCTTTTCCCAGAATAAGAACTCCCTGAAAGTTTTCTGGACACTGTCAGAATGCTGAGGAGAGATTTAAACATTAGTCCCTCCCATCACTGAAATTCTAGGATTCTGGCATTAAGCAGCCGGAGTGACCAAAACTCACCATACCGGCAGCCTAGTGGAGGGAAACCAGAAGGCAGTGCAGCTGTGGGAGCGGGGCAAGCCACGGCCCTTCTGTGAGCCTGTCTCCTCCTCTACAGCACTGGAAGATGAGAGCATCTCCAAGTAGTCCCCCTCACACAGTGGTTGTGGGACTCCAAGTGAGATGGCAAATGTGAAACTAAGACTAATTAATTAATTCTAGTAAAAGGTGAGAATGTAAACTGAAAAGCTTCAGTACAGCAAAGGAAACCATCAACAAAATGAAAAGGCAAACTATGAAATAAGAGAAGGTACTTGCAAATCATGTATCTGATAAGGGGATAATGCCCCAAATATATAAAGAATTCGTACAGCTCAATAGAGAAAACCTAAAGCATTCAGTTAAAAAATGGGCAAAGGATGTGAGTAGACATTTTTTTAAAGCAGACATAACAAGGATCAACAGGTACATGTAAAGATGCTCAACGTCACTGATCACTAAGGGAATGCAAATCAGGATGGCAATGAGCTATCACCTCACATCTGTTAGAATGACTATTATCAAAAAGACAAGCAATAACAAGTGTTGGCAAAGATGTGGAAAAAAAGGAACTCTTGTGCACTGTTGGTGGGAATGTAAACTGGTTCAGTCACTATGGAAAACAGTATGGAGTTTCCTTAATACATCAAAATAGAACAACCATATGATTTGGCAATTTCACTTCTGAGTATTTATCCAGAGGAAGCAGAATCACTATCTTGAAAAGATATATGCACCATGTTCACTGCAGCATTATTTACAATAGCCAAGATTTGGAAACAACCTAAGTGTCCATCAGTGGATGAGTGGATAAAGAAAATGTGATACAGTTATACAATGGACTATCATTCACCTATAAAAAAGGAGGAAATTCTGCCATTTGTGGCAACATGGATGGATCTTGAGGGCATTATGCTAAGTGAAATAAGCCAGGCAGAGAAAGACAAATCCCGTATGATCTGACTTATGTGTAGAATCTTACAAAAACTGAGCTCATAGATACAGAGAACAGATTGGTGGTTGCCAGAAGCAGAGAGTGGGAGGTGGGTAAAATGGGTGAAGATGGTCAAAGGATACAAGCTTCCATTTGTGAGTCCCAGCGATGTAATATGCAGCATGGTGGTTATAGTTAACAACACCATATTGTGTATTTGAAAGTTTCTAACAGACTAGATCTTATAACAAGGGGAAAATGATAACTATGTGTGGTGATGGGTATCAACTATTATTGACAAATATTTGACAAATTATTGACAAAATCAACTATTATTATTGATTTTTGGGGTAATCATTTAATAATATATACATGTATCAAATTATTATATGTAATATATTGTTCTTTGTCAATTATATCTCAATTAAAAAAAGATGAGACTGTTATTATTAGCAGCTGGGACCCAGGTCTCCCTCTCTAACACAGCCTTTCTCTCTGTTCTGATTTTCATGACTGTAGCTTTGACAGCAGGATGGCCTTGCTGGAACAGACTGAGGGTCACATGACTTCCAGCATTCCCTGGCCTTGGTGATCTCAGATGGCTGGTGCCCATGTAATCAGACCAAAGCCTTGGTCTGTCCTCAAAGAGGAGCTCTGGTGCTGATTGGCAACCAGTGGCCTTGCTAGTCTCTGCATAGCATTTGGGCATTTGCTGGGGGGAGGAGAAATAACCTTGATTCAGACACTGGGGTTGAGGAGAGCCACTTCCCTGGACCAGACTGGCAGGGAGGGTGGGGGGGAGGATCCGGGGGGCAGGGGCACCAGGCAGGCCTGGATTGCCCTGCTCGTCAGCACCCCGCATTAATCACTTGCCAGGAGAAAGGCTATGAGGAGAAAGCCGCGTTATTCCCCATATTACTTTGAGAGTGGTGGGAGGGAAGGTTGGACCGGGAAGTTGTTGAGAAGCCTGGAGTGACAGCCTAAGAAATTTGCCCTGCTCCTTGGAGGCAGTGTAGAAACACAAAAGGTACTTGGGCAGGACTATTCCACCAAGAGATCATAGCCTTCAGATCCAAGCCTGCATCCCTCGGCATGGGCTCCTGTCTCGCGTGATCCGCCCAGCCTGCTTCTCTGGCATCATCCCATTTGCTCCCCTTTTAGG